TCGGTGCCAGACGATCTAGCTTATAAATATTTCTATTGAATTTCGCGAGTTATCTTGCATTTTTAAAGTGACATCTAAACTGTAAAATCAGGACCTCGGATTTCTAAGAAAGGGGGTCATGTCTTTTTCAAGCCCCACAAAAGACATTTGGTGAAATCTCGCGAGGTCTCGTGATTTTACGAGACAGGCGTTTCCCAAATGCCAATCTCAAAAAATAATTACGTCATAAATAGAGCTGTTTCCTCTGACCTGTCTATTTTTTCACTGATTCATCCAAATAACTTTCAGTACATCATTTCTCTGGCAGTTTGGCGAACACCGCGTGTAGTTTTAATGTTGAATTGTAGCCTCTACCAGGATTCGGGAAGCGGTTGGAAAGAGTAGAAACTGGCCAAATAGACAAAATATGCCAGACTAGTTGGTCTGTGCTTAGAGTTTGCGACGAAGTATTCTCTTACTGTCTTAGCGCGGACCAACTCCAATGGCATAAGTTCTGTCTATTTTTTTTCTTCCTAACCGATCTAACCGTTCTAACCCGAATCCTGGTAGAGACTAGATGAAACATACAACTTGCTTGCCTTCGACCAAAGCTTAGAATAGAAAACCTCCCACCCCGTCGCGAATCTTTAGCGGACGCGTGAGTTGTCAACCATGTGACGTGTGAAGTCAGACAGTAATCCATTTACTTTTGTCGCTTCGGTGGATTCATTTTTATATCTTTTGGCGAATCTTGAATATGCCGACACCTTGCCATGTGACTCTCTTTTTCCAGGTTCGAGACAAGCAGCATGTTTTTACTTTTTATATAAACGACCTGGACCTTCCTGTATTATTCATGATCCAGTCTTTCCATGTTTGTTGCACTGAACTTCATCTTTACATCATGACCCTTACTAAAGAATTCTTAATAGGAAGTAAGAGACAATCATATATAATTAAGTAATACCAATATTTATTATATACATCGGAATAGAAAAATACATCTTTCTTTGAATATAACCAAACACAGGCCACAGCACAACGATGTCGCAGACATTCCTGTTGAAAACTTGTATATGGTAATTGTCCTTTCGTCGAAGGACATGAAAATCAAACAAGTTAAAACTACGTGGGACACTCGGTATAGAGAAAGTTATTGTCCAAAATATGTTGGCTATGTCATGACTCATAAGAAAATCGCTATTATATATACATTTTCTCCAGTTATAAACATTCAGATAACTGAGGAGGTTTGAGGATAAACATGTCAATGCACGCCTACGTTGAGAAGTCCTGGGTTGTGTCTCAGCGGTTCCTGGGGTGAGTTAGGTGCCCCGCAGCCGGGCGGCTGGTGAGTGGGGTCCCCCCAGGTGTGGCAGGGCTGACCGCGGTATCCTGAGGGCAGCATCTGGCCGGGTACGGCGTGTGTCGGGGGTACAGGTGCAGATGGGTGGTGCAGAGAAGACACGGGGACCGTGTAAGGGTGATAACCCTGTCCGTAGTGATGTTGTACGGGTCCAGCGGGATGGACGACTGGCGTAGGCGGGAGACCGTGACCGCTGTGCCCGAGCATGTTGGGGGTGAGTCCCGCCAGGGTGACGCCCAGGGACGGGAAGAACGCCAGGTGCGGGTGGTGGTGGGGGCCGTACATGCCGAACCGCCGCGCCTCGCTCTCCGCGTCCTGGACCTGCCGCTTCCACTTCATCCGCCGGTTCTGGAACCACGTCTTCACCTGCGGAGGACAAACATCAATGTTTACAAGCTTGCAATTCCTTCAAATTGATTTGCTCAACCTTTCCACCAATCGAATGCGTTGTTCATCTACCAAGGAGGCTTGATGCATCTTCATGTACTAAACACACTACTAGTGTATAACTGTTGGGTATATACTAGTATCCTTCAAATTGATTGGATTAACCTTTCCACCAATAAAATGCCGCGTTGTACAGCTAGCATTTGAAACGACATGGTGACCAAACATCTACCAAGGAAGTTCGATGCACCTTGACTTACTTTTGGTTTTTCTGTTGCTAATAATAACTGCGAGCGCCACTACCGCAGTATGGATGCACCTACCAAACACACTACTAGAATGTAACTGTTTTGTATGTTTCGTATCCTTACACAAATGCCTCTAGATTGATTAAAAACGACGGTATCTTCTAGAACGGTTGGACCGTATACGTACCTGTGCGTCCGTGAGGTCCAGTGCGTGGGCCAGCTCCTCTCTGTCCGAGGCAGACAGGTACTTCTGCGTGCTGAACCGTTTCTCCAGCTCGTGCACCTGGTGGTTGGAGAACGCCGTGCGCAGCTTCTTGCTCTCCCGCGAGGGAACGCGCTCGGGGCCCGGGGAGTCTCCGTCCGGGGTGTGGGGGGAGTATCGCTCTGAAAATCAATGGAACCAATAATTTTTAAAAAGTGCGGAGCAGAACAGATAAAAAGAAATACAAAATGGGCGATGGGCCAAAATTAATCTAGAAATTAAAAAATGACAAAATCGAAAACGTCCAAAACAAGCCTAGCATCTGGCGAGTAGAGTATGTGAGGAAAGAAGTACATCGGTGGTTCATACCGTTCTCAACATCGCTGGTGTTGTCTCCGTCCGACGTCTGTTCTGACGTGGAGTCTGCGGGAACTGCGCGACACCCGGCCTGCTCTGTCTGCCGAGAGTCGGGGGAGATGCTCGGGGAACTGGCCTTCGCAGCCGTCACTTTGGTAGGGACCACGCCAGAAGTTGGCTTCTTCATTGCCCGAGCCTATATAAAGGATAAAGAAACACACGTTGAAATTGATCAAATGTTACTTACGACGAAGTCGCATGTATTTTAATGCCGTATGATTTTCTATCACTGTGACAGACAGAACCAACCGCCAACAACGATTTTAACAGTCTTTTGCAGCACACACGAATGACTGTCCCAAATACAGTTTGCGATCGTATATTTATTTACTGTTGTACGGCGTTCGTGACCGGACGCTTACGACGATAGCCAGCATATACAGATGACGAAAGCAGAGAGGCTTAAAACAAATAAGGCAAGTTACTTTTTTTCCTTTTCCATCCTTATATAAGAACACTTTCAAACAAGTTGCGACGTTGGCTTACCCTATGATAGTAGGACGGTTGTGTCGGCTGTGGCAAGACGGGGACGTGGCGCCGCACCTGAACCGGCGAGCTGGAGGAGGTTATCCGGGCCACCTCGCTGTCACACGCCGTGTCCTCCTTCTCCTGGACCCGGCTACTCTGAGCCAGCCTCTCGATAGAGAAGATGTGATTCCCTGCCATCTAGGCTCTATGCCGTACCTCCTAGAACTTTGGTAAAAGAAATTCTAGCGAGATGAGACCAACAAGAGCTGCGTCTAGTCCGACGTCCAAGTGCCTGAATGAAACCTGGCAGCTATACGAGTGGGTTTTAGAAGTTGACTAATTGTTTTATCACGTAAATTCGAAATGAATTGTTGTTCAAAAGAAGGCGGACTGCCTTTTTTCTCTTGAAAACC